GCAACAGAAGAAAAAATTTGACGTATAGAAAATTTTTTTTACTTTCCAAGAAAAATATTTTATGGAGAAATTTCTGCCTGATAGAATTGGGGTGAGATTGATAAAAACTCATTGTTGTTACAGTACTTTTGTGCATTTCTTCTCATCAACAACTGTAAATATTTTATTTGAATGAAAGGATGTTGTTCGAAATTGTTTTTAACGTTGTACAAAAGTAGAGTAGATACTTTATTGGGGTAGAGTTGCATTTCTCAGTATTTTTTTCCGGCGCTAAAGCTTGAAATATTTTCTTTGCAGTGAAAATCTTGATAAATTATTAAATTTCTCTTGACACTCTTTTGTATATCTTTTCCACTGTTGCCTACCGTAAAGAGTTGTTCTAATTTTTGATACTTACTAAGCTTTATTTATCAACCATTCTACTTGAACAAGATTAGCATCTTATTTTGCGCTCAATTATATTAATCTGGTAGTTTATTAGAGAGACAGTTTGTAACGCGGTTTCTCTTACTTTTCAAGTGATTGATGTATAAATTATGGTCTTTTCTGGTTGTTTGAGCAATATCTTTAAACACTACAGCGATCCTGCATTTTTCAGTTTTTTTCTTTAAGAAGTTGGAATGAACTTGTAGCTGTTTTGTTTTTATATCATCTTCATCTTTTATTAGCAAAGAAGAAAGTATGGCAAATTTTGCTGATAAGTGATTTTACTGAGCATTCAAATGAGTGTCTTATAACAGAGAGGTAGAAAATTACATACAGTTTACCAATTGTTGCATTTTTCGTCTTTTTTTTTACTACTTTCTTTTTCGTTTCTTGTTTTTTTTTTTTTCTCGTCTTTCTTCTGGATGATTTTTTTGTACACGTAGAAAACCATTGTATTTTGCATTTCTTAATAAATTGCATATTTCATAAGAAAGAGGACTATATCATCTTCAATGATTAAAAGCATTCTTCAAAGAAGTTATAACTTTTAAAATGTATATTTTCATTTTGAGTTCAATTTTTATACAAATTTCAAAACTATGTCATCTTTTCTTGGGTTTGCGTAGTGGTGTAAGGCACAATTTAAATTTTAAATTCTTTAATTTAATAATTGGATGGTGAGTTACTTTTATTTAATAATTGTAGCGAATGATTACTGGAGAAATAATTTTAAAAATTTTAAACTTAGAAAAGAAGAAGCTTTATATGGATAAATAGAGTATGACAGATTAGTTAAACATTAACCTTCTATATGTTTAAAAAAATTATAAAAAACGTAACTGGAGTTGCAGTAATATCGTATATACTTTTGAGCATTTGGATTTACAGTTCAGTTGAAGATTGAATTAACAGGTAGTTCGCGAATCGAATTCCTTAGCTATGGAGTTCGACGTCTTAGCAACAATTATGGAAATGTTGAAGCAGTTGTTGGATTCATGTTACATCCAGAAGCAGCAGATACTAAAGTGATTTTTATATTGGACACACAGTGCAATTATGAAGCTACGCTTACTATTGACTTAATGAGCACTATCACTTTGGTTGGTTTTTTTTAGTGAATCTTAAGGCCTAATTGTCATAATCAAAACTTACAGTTTTCTATTTGCTGTACTATTTCTCAGTGTACCCAAATTTAATTTTTGTTTTTTTTTCTTTTGAGAAACAAGGACTAAATTAATTTATGCTTTCTTATTTCAGATATTTCAACGACATGCTAATATTCTTGGATTTTGTGTTGTTATATACTTGTTATGCCAACTGATGGCTTGGGCAATACTGTTTAACGGTGATTAATTGACCTTTTCTACTATCTTCCCTACTCTGCATTACTTTTTTTTAACGCTAAAAAAGTTTTATTTTCAGAAGCAACGGTTCGTAAAGATGAAAATAAAAGAAAGATTTGTTGCTATACATTAACTGGTATACTGTATACAGCAATAACATTTAGTTGCAACAAGTAAGAATTTATTGCTTTTAATTGTTAGTTCAATATTAACAGAATTATTAACTAATAGAAAAAAGTAAAAAATAAAAAAAATAGTGAGATTAAATAAAAAAAACGTGTAAAATTTTTGTAGGACTGATCAACTGTTTATTGCGCTCTCAACAGTTTGTCTTTCACTCTTATTTTACGGGTTAGGAACAGTTACCGCACTTATTAATCTGTTCATTTCAAGCCTAATGAAGTCCAGGTATGGCTTTTAAACATTAATTGTGTAGTATGATCTAATCTGTTTGGAAGAAAATTGACATCTGTAGCAGAAAAATTATTTTTACAGAATTATTGGATGCGGGAAAGCAAAGATTTTTGGTTTTGCATTGGTGATACATTGCCTTTATTTAAGTTATACCAACAATAGCTTTTTTGTTATTACAATACTTCTGGTTATTAGCCTTATAGTAAGTTATTTTTCTTTTTTTGCTGTTTTTTTTATATTAATTATTAGGCGTAGCAATCAGTAAGAAGCGAAAAGTAGAAGATGAATTTTTGAATCGAAGATTGTTGTTCTTAATTGGCTTGCAGGACTTTCAAAAACGGGTTAGCTGTCCATTCCCACTTAATGAATGTAGTTTGCTGACGTTGATAACAATGTTTCATATTTTAATATTTGCACTTTTCCTACCATATGGAATATGTTCTATATGGAATCTGCTTCATTACGGTACTGTACCTGCTTATGAAGACCCAACACGTTATGCTGCCTACATATCAGCAATAATTTTGATTGTTCGACTTCTTGCGGATTTCAGAATTTCTGGGATGGTAAATATGCCATTATATAAATTTTCAATAATTTGATATATATATATATGAAGTTATTTTTCGTTCAAAAAAATTCTTAAGAAGAAAAAAAAGAAGGCTTAAGAAATTATTGATACATCAAATTAGATGACACGGCTTAAATGAACCATAGGCATAAATAGTATTTTTCAGAGATACGCCATATTCAGTGCATTGATGTTCGTTGTTGTTACAAAAACGGAATCATTATTATGTTTAACTCGTCTCGGTACCTACCTGATTACATTTGTTTTCTCTTTTCCCTTTTTTCTGGATACTCAACAATCTTCCTCAATAAAATGTTAAAATTTATGACGGAAAAGGACAAAAAAAAATAAGGTAACGAAGACAGGACGAAAATAACGACAGAATATTGATAAGTGGAAGAATTGATTAGATACTCAAAGGACTTTTTAAATATGCATTACAACTGTTGTTGACAACTAGTTTTAAAACTTTTTTCTCTCCGGTTAATTTTTTATTCTTTTTTCTTTTTTGTTTTGATCATTACTTTACCGGAGTTATCGTTATAAATAATTATGAATAATCCACAGCTGTTACTATCTAATGATGTGATTTTGTAAGTATTTGAAGCGAAGATAACGTTGAAGATAACATCATTTGGTTATAGCTGCTAGTCAAACGTTACATCTTGTTAATCTATATATTTTCAGGAATGAGAAAGTTTTGTCATTAATGAATTATGCGTTTTATAGATACTAACACAGACATGCAAATTTACAAATTTGTGTTTAAACTTAATGTACATACTGTATTTGTAATTTGCTTATGTTACTATCTTCTTTTTTGGATTGCTTTATTGTTCTACTGTCCACCTTTGATTGTGATAACTGTAACCTAAAACCGGTTGTGCATTTGCCTTAATTTTTTTTTTTATTTTTTTATAAAATTTTTGACATACAGTTACGGGAAACGGTGATGATGATGGAAGAAGAAAAAAGTAAAAAACTGGGCCTTGAATGTTTGAAGAAGAAGCAGAAAGCATTATTTATTTTTTCTCTTCCTTCTTGCCTTCGCCTCCTTTTTAAATTTTTGTTCAAATGCAGTTTTATTGTTACCTACTTTGATTTTAGTTTAATTTACATTTACCGCAGCGGTTGTGTGTCTTTCTTCAATTTTTTGCTCCCTTATTTCTCCACTGTTTCGTTGCTCTTATATTATACTGCTTTATCTGCTTCGTCTCTAAGGGGTTCTACTCTTCTCATCCCATCTCGTTTCTTCGGTTTGATTTTGTTTTATTCATTTCTTTTTTTTTCTTTTTTTTTGTTATTAATTCTTATTTGTTATTCTTGGTGCTTAGAGATGTGTCTCTCAGACTTGGTGTTGTTGTGTCATGAAGATGGCATTTTTTGATAAGCCGTTTGATGTCTTTCTGGGTCTTTTTTTTTTTATTGTTGTCGTTTACTAGATTTGATTGTATTTGTAAATTTTTTTTCGTTTTTGTACAGGAAATAGTTTTTTCAACAGTGTTTTGCTTCTTTTTTTTAGCAACAACAACAATAAATAGATCTTTTGTTGGTACATCAATTCTTGATCACAGTCTATAATATTTTATCGGCTAGCTAGGTAATTGGACTAGTTAAAACAAATCAAAAACTGTTCGGGTGATCAGTTTGGTGATCAGTTTTATTTAGTTATTCATATTTTTAATTAAGGGAGCAGTCATATTTTATTTTGTTTGCTGCATCATTATTGAAATTTTCTGGTAGCCTTGGAAATACACTGACGTGCGTCGCAAAATTAGCAGACAACCTTTTTTTTATTTTTGAGTTTACATGTAGGTGGAATGAATTTTTGCAGAGTCATTTGAAAAGTTGGATAATCTGTTAGCAGTTTATTGAAAATTGAAAAAGCGAAGAATCTTGTAATTTTTTAATTTTTCAATTTCTGTTTTTTTTCTTTCGGTTGAAATTTTCACTGGACTGAAAATTGGAGCTGTATTTTGCATTTTCTTTTGTCGTTGTTACTTTTGTCATTTTCAAGTTTTGGCTCGCTTCTTATTGATTTTGTAAGCAATGGATTTTGTTGGATGGCGAACTGTGTTTAGAAATAAATCTTTTTAAAAAATGTTAAAGCCGTTCAGAAAAAGAGAGGAACACTTTTTTATTAAATTTTAATAAAATTATCGTTTTTTTTGTTGAAGGATTGCAAGCTAAGCGGGGTTTAGTTTTTTTGCTGTTCTCTTTTTGTTTTATTTTTAAGCGTCTATAATCTAGAGTGTAATCGAAACTAAAGCCAAATTAAGCAGCAGGTTTGATACATGTTTTGTGGACTTCCAGCATACACACTTCCAATTTCCAGCCATTATTGTTCCGCTGTCTTTACAGACAGTACGTTGTCCCACCGGTTGAAAATCCATCATTATCATCATCTGACCACTTCCATCTTATCAAATTATATCGTCCTGAAATACAGTCAGTCGGACGGCAATGACGGCGGCGGCACTGATGGTGCTGATGATGATGGCGATGACGGTGATGTTATGTCCGTCTCAACTGTCGCTGTTCGAAAGGTAAGTCGACAGAATGACCACAATTTTATCTTTCTTCACAGCTATAGCGTACTACTGCAAACAAAATCCTAAAATTATGAATAGTTTGGACTCTAAATTTGGATTATTTTATTTCCATCTTTTTAAATAAGAGCCTTTTTGGCAATTGAAGATTCCTCTGCTTCACATCAGTTCTCATCTTAATGTTCATCTTCTACTTCGCTTTTTTAAATGATTCTGCATCCTGTTGTAGAAGTCGTATGAATCAGAGGTAACAAAAGAGATTTTATGCAAGCATAACTTAATTACTTAGAATTTTAGAATTTACCATTAGAATTTTTCGTGAAGAAGTCTAATCATCATTTTTTTAACCAACTATCAGCTAAATAAAATAAAGAACTAGTAAAGATTTATGATGCAAAGTTTGCGTGTTAAAGGTTGATGAGAGACTAAAAAGATTGGTGATACTTGGTGTCTGGATAAAAGTGATGTATTTAGAAACTCAAACATTTACCGAAGAAAGTTGGTGAGGCGGGGAAGCAGCATTAAGGATTAAAGCACTAAAATAACTTCAACATGCTCTCTTCTATCCATCAGTTCTTTCTTTCGCCAGTGTACTGTTCTTTGGAATGACAATTTACAAGTGCGAAAGTAGGCCTGATAAAAACGCATAAATGTTCAGGTTTACTGAGAAGTTAAATTACTTACTGACATTTGAAAAGTCTGTTTGAAAGATCAGGTACAAGCACGCACAGGTACGTTAAAAACCCATTTGCAGTGTACTTTAATAGTTTTTTCAGTGCTTCATTTTTGGTTTCACTTCTTACCGAAACTGAGTTGACGCTAAACAATCAACTATAAATTTTATTACCTACCATTAGACTCTACCAAAAAGTAGAACGTATTGGGACAATATCAGCACATATTTGTCAAAATAAGTGTTTGATAAAACTAGCAATTAATGAGAAAATATGAAGTATTAAAACAAAATGGCATAAAAACTATTAAACAAAACAGTGTATAACTGATTAAAAAATCAAAGATAAAAAGGCAGAAGATGCATTGAGAAAAAACAAGCGGTATAGAATAGAAAAATTGTACTTTTTGTTTAGAAGTCAAAACATAGAAAACTGAGAAAAAAATTCGTAAAAGATAATAAATAAAAAAAATTTGAAAAATTAAATCGATTTTTATATAAAATAAGTTGTTTCAGCTTACAGTATTCAAAAAATTTGCTGTCACAGCTTTTTTTGTCCTGTAAGATAAAATTTATCCGAACTGACTGCATATCCTAATAACTGTTACTATTAACAACTTCTGTATCTGTAATAACGGTAAAGATTGTTTTAGAATATTGCTCTGCAAAAACTTTTTCATAATACTAAATTATGATTTCTTGTGCTCATC